CATTGCTTGTATCCTTTCTGCTGAACCGCAACATGGAATCTGCTGAACCAAGCTCTTGGTGATTGTTTCAGCCCATATAAAGACTTCTTCAACTTGCACACTTTTTGTTCATTGCCTTGAGTTAGGAAACCAGGGGGTTGAATCATGTAAACTTCCTCTTCAAGATCACCATTCAAGAATGCATTCTTGATGTCAAGCTGATGTAGATCCCAAACCAGATTAGCAACAAGAGAGAATAGAACTCTAATGGAGTTCATCTTGGCAACAGGGGCAAAAGTTTCTACATAATCAAGTCCGTACACTTGAGTAAACCCCTTTGCCACTAAACGAGCTTTATACCTCTCCACCGTTCCATCAGCCCTATGCTTGACAGTGAACACCCATTTACATCCAACTGGATCCTTTCCCTTATGAAGATCTACAAGTTCCCATGTGCCACTTTTATGAAGGGCATTAATTTCTTCCTTCATGGCATCTGTCCATTCAGGTACTGAAAGAGTTTCTGCCACATTCTTGGGGATAGGGACACTGTTAATAGAGGTAAGGAAAGCACGAAATGAGGGTGAAATGTTCTCATAGGAAACAAAGTTGGAAATGGGATGTTTAGTGGTGCACAATCTAACACCTTTCTTGTGAGCAATAGGAAGGTCAATGCCATTAGCATCAGAGGTATCAATTTCAATAGAATCAGGGACATCATTGGGAGCCAAGTTACCTGAGTGGGTATGATCCTCCCCTGAGGAGTTTGATGGCACTGGAGGTACAGGTTCTAGATTCTCCACAGCTCTTGAATTTGGTTGGCCTTTGCAACGACGAAAGAAGGCACGAAAAGGCGGAGGATCAGGAAGAGGAGGGATCTGAACCAGTTTCTCCTCATGCCTACACTCCCCCTAAGGAGAAACAGGAAAGAATGGCTCATCCTCAAAGAAAGAAACATCCATGGAGACATAGAATTTTCGAGAAACAGCATCAAAACAACGGTATCCCTTTTGAGTGGAGTAACCAAGGAATATGCAAGGAATAGCACTAGTATCCAATTTCCCACGGGTGGGAGATAGATTTTGGACAAAGCACCGACAACCAAAGACACGAGGAGGAATGGGAAGAAAGGGGGCCTTAGGAAAGAGAAGTTGATGTGGGGCTTTGTACTCTAACCAACGAGAGGGCATACGGCTAATGAGGTAGGTAGAACAAAGAACAACCTTAAGCTAAAAACGTTTGGGGACATTCATATGGAGTAGTAAACCCCAAGCCACTTCAAGGAGATGTCGGTTCTTCCGTTCAGCCACACCATTTTGTTGTGGTATTCGGGCACGAGCTACGGTGAAGTGAACCACACGAAGCAAAGAACTTCGTGAGATCACTATGAAAAAACTCTTTCGCATTGTCTGATTGAAAAATTTGGATTTCAGTCTGAAATTGAGTGAAGATCATCCGTTGAAAATCTTGGATAATTTTTGGTACTTCCTCCCTGGTTCGCATAGGATATAATACTCAAGTATATCTAGAATAATCATCAATGAGGGTAATAAAATACTTGTAACCACTCTTAGATGGTAAAGTAACAGGGCCCCATACATCAGAATGAACAATGCGAAAAGGAAATTCAGATTTACTATTTTTTTGAAGAAAATGAGTTCTACAATGTTTACTTAACTGACACGTTTGACAAGAGAAATCTGAAACGGACATTGACTTAAACAGTTCTAGAAACACAACTTTTAAAGACTCAAAAGACAAATGACCAAGGCGACAATGCCATAAATAAATTTGACTCTTA